GGCCCGGGGGGGTCCGCACCGGGGCCGCGTACCGGAGCCCGGCCCGGCCCGCCTCAGGCTGGCCGCACTCCGGCCGCGCTCCGGGCGCTGCTCGGCGGCGTTCGCGGGAGCTCGTTCCCCGCAGCCTGCGGCCTAGGCCGAGGCCTGTTCGCTCGGTTTGGAAATGGTTTATCTTGCACTTACTTGTAAACAATAGCGTCAGCTTTTTGATGTGATTTTAATACATACGCACTTGCACTGGGCCTACAGCCTATGGTTTGCTTTTGTTTTGTTTATTTGTTTTGTAACTTTTAGAAACGAGAACAGAAGTCATGGGCCTTTAGAGTCTGTTTTTTGATGTTGGTGGATGTGTTACCAAAGGGACTATAAGCTCCCGAGGAACACTGTTAGGATTCAAACATTTGACAAATGGCTGTGGAAAAAGTAACAAAGCAAGTGATGAGGTTTTGTTCCAGGGGATTCTCCATGGACTGCAGCTGAGAGCGTTCACCTCGTACACCAGACAGCAGAGCTCCTCAGGGGAACTCTGGGGGCACTTTTATGTTGGATAGGAAAAGACGGGCTAACTTGTCTTGACAGAAACTGGCACGTAGAGATAGGAATGTAATGTTACTGAGGCTCTTCTGGAGTATGTTTTATGACTGAGTCACTGTCAGACAACTCCTGAGGCCTGGAACGTCATGCTTGTGATGTGTAGAAAAGTACATTTTCCAGTTGAAAAAACCCCAGCCAAACAAAGCTTCAGTCTGGTTTTGACTGGCTTTAGAACAGGTTGTATGGTTCCCAAGGCTACTAAATTACATTCCAAGTCAGATGTAACAGAAATAAACAGGTTTGCTAAGTAAATAAAACTTCAATGAGAATGCCATAAAGTTTTCCGTTGTTCCCCAGTAACTGTCATATTCACTTAAGCCAAATTAGATAAGAGGTCTAGAGATGTAAGAGATGCCAAATTTCTACACATTCTTGGTTCATTGAAAGGATTGGATTTATAAAAAAGACAGGAGTAAGAGTCCCTTTTCCTGAAGTTGCTGTCTGTGCAATCATTCGGGGGTGGGACAGTCAATGACTTTGTCCCATCAGTTAGAATATTCAGCTTTTGGATATCAGAGAGCAGGTGGAGGCAAGGTAACGTTCTGGGGATCCAGGGAGAAGCCAGGTGTGATGGATTTCCCCCCTTTTCTACCAAAACTTATGGGGGATGAAATCCTAAGTCCTTTCTATTTAGCATGGGATCCTGAGGGGTGGTTTCTGTCAGGCAGCTCTGGATGCTCCCCTTGCTTTGTCAGTCTTGTCCAGGTAACATGCTTTTAAAATTTTGGTACTTGGAAGTGACCCTGCAACCAGAGCAAATGTCTCCAGCTTTTTGGTGCTGAGGCTGAACTCACTCACAGTAACATGGCTTTAAGGTAGTAGAAGTGTAGAGGTAAGACCTTCCTCTTGACAAAGGCAATTTTTGAAAATTTGGGCCTAATCTTGCTGTTTTAGGCAGAATATGATGAATTTTTCATTACAGTTTTAAAAAATGGTTGTTTAAAGTTTAAAATGGTTGTTTACAGTTTAAAAAGTGGTTGTTTGCATTGCAAAGTATTTGGGCCTAATCTTGCTGTTTTAGGCAGAATATGATGAATTTTTCATTACAGTTTTAAAAAATGTGGTTGTTTGCATTGCAAAGTATTTGATGCAAGTTTTTCTGAGGATCACCAGAACATATGGAACAGTTTTCCAGTGTGATTAACTCCCATTCTCATTTTCTAATCCTGGGGATGAGCAGTGTCACTGTGTTTCAGTTAAAATTGAATCCTTGATTATCACTCAGTTTTTTTCGTGATGCTATAAAGTAGATGAAGGTAACATTCATGAGTGAAATGCTTGACTACTTATGTAATGCTACAGTTAATTCCCATCCTTTAAAAAAGTTATTAGTGTGTTTGTTCCCAAAGCTGTACTGCACTATTTGGATGATACCATGAATAAAGCTTGATTTGACTTTGTTTGGCCGATGTAACTTTTAAGTATTAGATTTCAATTATGTGTTATAATATCAATGGTGATTAAATTGGAAATGGAAAAACGGAAAAAAGAACTTGGTTGTTAGCACAATGGTAACTTGGTGTTTTCTGTCCTCTCTTCCCTCCCCTTTATGCCAGTGGTAGCGTTTTCATGACTCTAAAAAGAAACTGGGTGATCACCTGTGTGTCTGTTTATGTAGCAGCCACCAGCCTAAAGAACAAACACAGGTGAGTAAAAAAGTGAGTGTGGTGAATGCTGTCTGCCTACCGTTTTCTATTCACAATTGCTTCATCATGATGGCAAAACCTAATTTGATTCTAATCAACGCTATGGATGGCTCTCTCCACCAGAATCCACCTGTCTGCCTGGCAGCCGAGATCTTTGCCAGGCTTCTGCTCCCTCTGCACCCTGAAGATGTGGCACTGTAACCTGGGCTGATTCCCTGCCCGGCTCCAGTCTCTGCTGTTTGACAAGAACTCAATTATTTTCCCCAAGAATGCTGCTGATATCTTTTCTGTATCTTGTGTCCTTCTCTGAAGCTGGCATGAGGACAGCTTCTGCTCTGCCAGTTTGAAGACAGCCGTGTTTTTTTCCAGTTACACGTATTTTGTGCTTAAATGATGTCGGTAGCTATTAACACTTTGCTCTTCTTATTTTACCGAAAAACGATGTAATACCTGGGAAAACACCGCCGTGCCTGTAGGTCCGAGGCAGCCGGCGCTGTGAGAGCCCCACACGGGTGTGAGCAGCGCCGAGGCTGTGGCTGCCCGCCCGCCGCCGGCCCCGGCCTGCCCGCCCGGCGCCCCCCGCCCGCAGGATGTTCAAGAAGTGAGTGCGGCCGGGCTGGGGCGGGGAGGGGAGGGAAGGAAGGGAAGGGACCGGAGCGGGCGGGCCCCGCGCCCCTCAGCCCCGGGCTCGACGCTGCGCTGGCGGGAGCGGCCCCGCGGCCTCCTCGGGCAGCGCCGCCCGCAGCCCTCGGCTTTGCCCCGGGCACTCGCTCGTTAAACGGAGCTGAGTCATGAACTTATCCCAACTCCGGGGGGCGGAGAGCGCCGTTCGTGTTTCTGTGCTGGACGTGAAGGATTCGCACCGGAGCAGGGCTGTGGGTGTCTGTGTTACCGGCACAGTGCTCCTGGAGTTGAATAAAATAGCGCTGTGGGCCAGGGTTTGTCTGTGGGACTAAACACGTGCTGTGGCCTCACAAAAAGTTTAGGTATGAAGACAGGCTACTAAGGGGGGACCCCCTGCCTTCCCCCAGCCCAAGTGGTCCCGGCGGACAAATTTAAGCTTCATGAAATCTTGCATTTGAAAGCTGGACAGTCAGTCTGTAGTGAATTTATAAACGTGTCTGAAGACAGCTGCTGAAAAATGCATCTTTTGTGCAGCAAATTGTGTGTTTCTAAAATACTTTCACTTGACAGATTTGATGAAAAGGAGAATGTATCAAACTGTATCCAGCTGAAGACTTCAGTTATTAAAGGCATCAAGAATCAACTGATAGATCAATTTCCTGTTATTGAACCATGGCTAAACCAAATCATGCCAAAGAAAGATCCAGTCAAAATAGTAAGATGGTAAGTATCTATTTTCTTAAACTTTGCTTTCAGGGTGCTAGGATTGCTTCCTTTGTATGTTTTCTTTTTACAGTAGATAAACCTAGCACTTTTGGTAGGCATCCATCATCTCTTCATAGCTAGTAGTCTGTGTTATGGCCCAACTAGAAAGGTGGCATGTGCTCATTGTGCTTTAAAGGCACATGCTGGTAGGGTGCTTGAGGAACTTAAAAATGCTTCCTAGTAGCCAGTGTGCAGTGTGCTCAGGGTCTCTCCAAGGATCAGCCTGTTGTTGAAGGGAAGCATTCAGCTTTATGCACATGGAAGCTCAAAATTGTTTGGATTCCTGTCAGTAACATTTTGTACTATTTTTGGGCTTCCGTGTACTATCTTGATTATTTTCCCTTTTTTAAAAATAGAGGCATTTTTGCTGAGTCCTCATTATTCACTGTTTGTATTGCATTTAAAAAGCAACACCAAGGAAATGCAGTTTGTGTATTTTGTCAGTAGGTTTCTTTTTTTCTCAAAGGGGGAAGAAGTGAACAGCAGACTACTGCTGAAGAGCAAGTCATACAAAAAGATAATATTTTTAGTTTTAAATTTTGTTACTAATTGACGGTTTTTATTCTCAGATGCTAAGATAGACTGGACTCCTTTAAGTAAAATACTGTATTTAAAGTATAGAAGGGTTAAGTAGCTCTTGAATTTTTTTTTTTAAATCTTGCAGTCATGAACATATAGAAATCCTCACTGTGAATGGGGAGTTGCTGTTCTTCAGGCAAAGAGAAGGGATTTTTTACCCGACACTAAGGTTGCTTCACAAATGTAAGTTTCCTGAGGGTGGTTGTGCTGGGAAGAGAAGGGTGACTGTGTGATTCCACAGGACATCTGTAGAACCAAATTAAAAAGAGCTTCCATTCCATATATTCCATGCATATGCTTATTCCAGAGTAGATGTTAAAGATACAGTATACTTTCTTAACTGGAATTTATTAATTTTCTATTTCAGATGTCTATGTTAATTGCTTCCATGCTATATGCTAAGCAATCTGAATTGAAATAAGAATTAAATTGTGTAAAGCTCTGTAAAAAAATATTGGGAGGCTACCTTAGCACAGAGAAATAAATTTGCTATTGTTGGTCCCTATCTTTTTTCTTTCAAGCCTTCTTGTTGTACAAATACTTGTAAGTTCTTACTAGAAAACTATTCCTGAGTTTAATGATATATATCTGTCTTCTGTAGGAATTTAGGCTGCATGCTTTTTACTCTTCACCATTTACTCTTGCAGTTTTTTTCTTGCTGTTCTGCTTGATTGTTCTGCTTGATATGAGAGAGCAGAACGAATCCCAATGTTTTTAATCCCAAAGAATGTTATTCAGTCAGATCTCAGTGTTAGAAATGCTTCAGGAGGGTGCCTGCACTTGAAGGATGGCTTGGAGACCTGATGGCTTTCATGAATTTTGTCAGTGTTTGCCTTTTTTTTTTCTGTTAATGTTAAACTGTTTTTCTTTCGTGTTGGAGTACTTTGTAAGAGTACATGGAGTTTGCAGGATTTAAGACCCCTTGGTTTTAAGAATTCTTAGGATGGGCACTTGTGTGGTTGTTTTCCCTAGGGGAAAATTGTTGCTCAGTCTATGGTCTGTGAGTGTGCAGGAGCCATAGCCTGAAGTGCTGGATTACCTTTGGTTCTCAGATAAAAGAGGTGGTCTGGGAGGACAGTACCTGTGTCCCTTTGGGTCAGTATTTGTGTCCTTTTGGGATGGCACCACCCAGCAGGAGCTCTGGTCATTGTTTCTCATACTTCCTACCCTTGCAGGACACTCTATATCTAATTGCCCTGTACAAACTGACTTTATGATGAGCTGTTCATGTTGCCGTGGTGCTGTATTAATTGCAATGCTGTGTCTTTCCCCTCCCAGACCCATTTATTCTCCCGCATCAGCAGGTTGATAAAGGCGCCATTAAATTCGTCCTGAGTGGAGCTAATATAATGTGCCCTGGCCTGACGTCGCCTGGAGCAAAGCTTTACCCTGCTGCTGTTGACACTGTTGTGGTATCCTTAACTATGAATTACTGCTCACTGTGAAATGAGTTAAATTTCTGTTCTTGTGTTCTCAGTTGATTATTATCTGTATCACTTTGGGTTTTAATTGGATTTCATGGAATAACTTGTAATCAGAAAGGAGCTGCAGAGGTTTAGATATTGCTTGGCAAGGTTAAAGTTGTTCATATTTTTTTCACTTACTGTATGTTCCAAACCACGTAACTATTCATGCTGTACTGTTGGGTGGTCTGGTGTTCCATTAATCTCATTGGTAAGTGGAGCTCCTTGGTGATTTTGTGCAGAATAGTAAAAGTAGATGAGGTGCAGTGTAATTTGTGCCCTGCCTCCTTAGTCAATTTTGTATTCCCTTCAGAAGATTTCTCTCCTGTCCCTGAGGAATTAGGAAAGATGGTTAGGATCAGCTTTACTGCAGTCAGGACTTGCTCTATGTGTTTGATGAAGTTAGTGTATGTAAAATGAGGAAAGTGTGCTAATTCACTCCTTATATTACTGAGAAAAGAACCCTGAAAAATACAGCATTTATAACACCAAGCTGTGCTGCTTTTGTTGTTAGTTGGATGCTATAGGAAAAGATCAGCAGTTAACATCACGTGCTGCTAAGCTCTGAAAAGGACACATGTGATTTTAGTGCTTGTGGTTTTTAAATTGATGTCTCACTTCTTCTGTGCCTTGGAATCTAAAATGGCCCCACAAACATGTGCTGTTTTGTTCCAGAAAGGCAGAGACTGTCATCTCTGTGTTAGGCACAAAGGAAGAAATTTAGCACTGGGAGATTTTTTCTCTAATTGCTGTTCCAAGTTCATAAATACATGCTTTGTTCTACACACTGATTCAATTGTTAAATTCAGTGCATTGTTTTGCTTATCTTTAAGAACTGGAACTCTAGAATTGCTAAAAGGTTAAAAGTTCAACACTGGCTTTTGAAAGTGTTTTTGGAAGTAATTTCTTCATATTACTTTTACTTTTCTGAAATAGTTTAAAAAGAACTCTGTTTTCCTTAGCAGTAATTTGTAGGCAATTATGGCAGAGGGAAAACAACATGCATTATGTGTGGGAGTAATGAAGATGTCAGCTGAGGACATGTAAGTGTTTTAAAAAATACTGAAACTCTTGCTGAAACATAACCTGTCCCATGTTATTATTCTTATGTTAGTTTGGAGTATAAGCACCACTGTCAAAGTTACCACTTTGCTGCTGCAGCATGTGCTGTTCAAGTACAATACTACCTGGGCTAGGCAAGAGATGTAATTTGGATTTGAGAGGATTGAAAACATTGAAGAGATTTTTGTCTGCAGGGACAGCAGAGACTCAAGTCCTGCTGGATCTTGGTTGTCTGTCCAGGCATTTTTTTTTTTCTCTGTGGCTTGCTCTTTTTCTTCAGGGTGTACCCACATGCAGCCCAGCATTCCTGCTTGATGTGCTGACTAACTTAGCTGAGCCTCTTGTGAAATTTAGAGTTCTGCTCGGGATAAACAGAAAACTATTTGAGAAGAAAAAGAGATACAGAAAGTGAAATGGATGTTAGTTGTTCTTGGCTTTCAGATCGTGCTAAATTATAAGTATCTAAATCACTTAGTCATGTTAAGTTCTATTAACAACTTGCAGATGTGAGGTGCACCCAGCAGGTTTGGGCTGTTTTGGTTTCCAGACCTGTCTGTCACTTGGAGCAATGAGGAAGCTTTTTTTTTTAAAACAAGTCCCTCTTTTTTGTGTGGTTAATTCTCAACAAGCCTGTCCTAAGTCGTAATAGTAGCATGAGGCAGAGAGGGGGGAATGTCTTAGAGGACAGGGATAGAGTGGGAATGCAGAAACCTGGATTTGGACCTGCTGAGGAATTCTGTTCTTCAGGATTCTTTGTGGTGCTTCAAAAGACTCCAAGAGTAAGTGGAAAGAAAAGCTACCTGTGTCCCAGTCCTAAGAGGACAGTGACACACTGTGATCATTGCAAACCAAGGTCCTTTGTACACTACAAATCCGCCAGCCTTGCAGCTGAGTATCCTGTTCCTGTGAGGAGCAACATGAGCTGGAGAGGAAAATGAAATTATACTCCTCTCTGCAGCCTGTTAGCTGGTTTTTTTTGGTGTGACATTGTTCCACATTTTTCTGGTTTAGGCAGTGGGATTTCAATCTCTTGGTGTAATTACTACATATAATGTGTTAATATTGTGTTAGCAGCATTTCCCTTCCTGATTACTTTTGGACAGGTTGTGTAAGTGACAGAACACTTGGTGTAAATAGAGTAAATAATATTCTCCAGGGGAATGAAACCTGTTCTCACTCCCAGAAAGAGATTTATTTTGTTTATTGTGGCAAAACTAGTTCACTGGTGTTTTTTTAAAACTGGAAAAATAAACACAGACATAAACCAGTAATTTTTAAAAGATTACATGACTCAAAAGATAGTCAATACTATGGAGGATAGCATGTCTCTAACAAGCTGAAAGTCCTTGGCACATAAATTTAGCATTTTTAATTCTTTTTAAGTGGGTAGATGACCTGCAACTAGAAGTGAAGCAGCTCACCTGCATTTGATTGTGTCATTGCACACTTGAAACTTGTTAGAGTCCACATTCCAGTCATCTTGTACCACATTCTGTGCTGGGAGGGGAAGACTCACAACTGCTGTCCTACTTTGATAGAGAAATGGTAAAATGAAGAAAAGTAGCAGAAGTGTTGTCTGGAGAATGGTGTCCCAGAAAGATGTAGCAAAAATACTGCAGAAAGGTGTTGAAAAAATGTAGAAGGCAAATATCAGTCAGCAGTGTGGGCACATTAATAACAAATATTGTTTCTTGTCCACCTGCTGTGGAAGATAATGACTTTGTGGTTGGTAACTTTCCCCTTCCAGTTGACAAGTGTTGCAGTTTCTACTTGAAATAATATATTTTGTAGTGCTCTTGTATTTAACCTAGCTAATACTTCTGTATGTTTTTCCTCCTGCAGTGAGAAGGTCAACAAAGGGATTGGTATTGAAAATATCCACTATTTAAATGATGGCCTTTGGCATATGAAGACATACAAGTGAAACAACAGGAACTGTTACTCCAAAGGAATGCACTTAGATTAAATGTGGACTGCTTTGTAATTCCTTGTTTTTAATGTGACTGAATGTACAAATTATTTTGTTCTGTGGCTATGCTAAATAAATCAGTTGAATGCAAAAGTACTGTTAGGCTACAATAGTTTTCTAGATTTCTTTTTATTACAGTTATTTTGTTTTGTCTTAAACCTGAGTCTTCAGTGACTTCAGATATTTGATGAAAGATTCTGCATGGACTGTGAGTAGACTATTTCAAATGGAAAGGAGGAAAAAGCCAAGAAATGTTTACATTTTTGTGCTCTTCTAAAAGAGTAATATAAAGTGTGTGTGAAATATAAACTTGGTTTACAAAACCTGAAGCATTTCAGATTTTTTCTTGACATCTTAGTCTACCTAGTTCCTTGAATATGGAGAAATCAGGTTTTTTGACATTATTTTTTAACTTATTAAGTGCATTAGCTTCATTTTACTTAAGGATTTTCTCTTTTTAATATGCATTTATCTGTATGGGATTTATGAACTCAGTCTGGTATGTGGATTAGAAATTCTTTTATGGTGGCTCACATCTGAAGACTGTATGTATGTTCAGATTTCTACCTGCCAACACTTTGATACTGCTCTCCCTCTAGAGGAGTTTGTAGTAATGGTGGGCACTCTCCCCGTGAAGTGTGTGCCACCCTGGTGCCTGATGCTCTCTGCTCCCTGTGTGCCGCCTAATTTAAGGAGCAGAAACAAAATCACTCTTAAATAAAGGCATTGCAGCAAAACATGTTTTTCAGTGTAGCCAGGAGCAACTTTTTCAGGTGGAACTTGAAGAGCTCCCAGCTTGTGCACACTGCCACATGTCTCTGTACAGCTGCAGATGGGTTCAGGAGCACTGTGTGTCTGTCTGGATAACCCAGCATTCCCAAAGCTATGCCTATGGAAAAATGGAATACTGTAATAAATTAAGGAAACTTTTAAGGTCTACCACTCATAACTGTCTCTGGAAGCATTTATTAATATTTCAAGTTTTTATTCTAACACATGCATTTTCCAACAGCAGAATGTAACTTGGTGTGCCAGTGCCTTGTGGTGCTGTTCTGCAGGCTTGGTTTCCCCACCCTGGACCTTTACAGATGATAGCAGCCAAGGTGTTCTCCATCTGATTCTAAAGCCAAGTTAAGACATGGCAGAAGGAATGCTGCTTTTAAAATTCTGTAATGTACTGAAAATGACAGGGTAAATCTGAAACTATCAATGTAGGAAGACAAAATTTAAGCAGTGTTGCAGAAAGTTCTGATCACACCTCAGACCTTCAGAATGCGGGTGAACATTTCTGTGCATCTTAAAGATGTCATTGTACTGATGAAGTGTACTGATTTCTGGTTAGTACTATGGGAAATCAGTTTATGCTTCGGTGTTGGTGCTTTTTGGTTTGTTTTTTTTTTGGTGTAAAATGAGCTAATCTTGCCTTTTGTGGTTTGCTTTTAACCCTTCCTGTTGTCCTACAGCACCTCAAATCCGTGACAAATGAGATTTTTTCTTGTTGGAATTGTTCACTCTCATTCTATGACTGCTGTTGCTTTAGGGGGGTCAGAACTGATTTTTAATGGTCAAAACCACTAAGTTTTGCTTGCTTAGACAAAAACAGGTAAAATTTTTGCAGCTGTATTATTTTGTAAGGAGACACAAGTCAAATAATAATTTAATAATAATAATTTATATACCAGTTTGGCAAAGCATCAAAGGTGCAAGTTTTACCTGGGTTTTGGCATCAATAGTGTTGCTGTCAGCTGAGCTCTGACTGATGGGGAGATGAGCAGGTGCATCTTGTCTCACCTTTAAAAAGCAGCTGAGCTGTGGGAGCCTGTAGGGGGGTCTGAACACTTGTCTTACCTTGTCAAAAACCTGATGCTTAAATCCAAAAAGCCGAGATGTGGATAGTCTCATCAGCTCTGAAGCAGCTCTTTCACTTCCTCAGCTGCCCACTTGCAGCTCAGGGTAGGGTGTTACAACTTGGTTAAAGGTGAGAGAACAGTCTGCTCCTGTTTTATGAATATTGTAATACCAACAAGGCCTGTGACAGTTACAGGTGGATGTAATACCTTCCTCAAGTCTTGAAACACCCATGTCAGGTCAGTGAATTCTAAATGGAGTAAGTACTGAAGTGCTGTTTGCACAGGCTGTGGGTGGATAGAAGTGTGTCCCAGGAACTTGTGTAAAACTGAGTGCACTCTATTGTTTAAAAAAGATAAAAATCAAAAAACCCCAAACCAAACAACAAATTGTACTGATAATTAACCAACTTTTTCCTTGTAAGCACTATTAGCATCCACTAACAGGAGTAAAAATAATGCTGAACCTTTATTCTAACATGCTTATAGATGGAGTGAAATTTTAAATGAGTAACTAATCTTGTGCTAACAGACCTGTTAATACCTATTCAAATACCATGTTAATACCTATTCAAATACAATTTATCTTTTTCTTTTGTGTTCTTAGAAACAGTAGTCCAAAGGGCACTTGATATTACTCTGCTGCAAGATTTCTTGTCACCTTGCTTCCTGCTGCTAGAAGGCTGTACATCAGGTGGAAGGTGCTCAAGCTATTGTGTAGTTCAGTGTAAAAGAAACAGCTTAAAGTTACAATCTTTGAGACTGAATCTGTAGTCAGTTTTATTGGTACAACTTAGAAAGATATAAAGACATTCTAGAAATGCCTGGAAGAACGGAAATCATCAAAGTCTTGCAAAAATATATTTTTAAGAGTAGATTAAAGTTCATTTCAGTTTTCATTAATAAATATTGACATGTACAAACCCCCCCTATAAACTTAATTTCCTTTTATAATAAACATTAACATCTTCTTTTTATCATTTCATTCCAGCAAAAGCCAGAAGCACTTCCCTATAAAAGATTTAGAAAAAAATTCTCCTTCCGCTGTTAAAATTAAGAGCTGTACCAACCCTCAGTGTGCAAAAGAACCTGTACACCAGTACCAGAACGTGTCAGTCCAACTGTGTGCTGTGAGAAGAGCCCCGTTTCCAGGCCTTCCCTGAGGACACGTCAGTCGTTGTCAGAGCCCGGGGGGGGCAGGAACACCAGGGCGTCGCTGTACGAGTGGCCGTAGGGCCGGAGCCTGTACACGCCGTACATCATCACGTGCATGTGGTTGGGGGCCAGCCCGCTGAAGGTGATGGCCGTGTCGGAGCAGCAGCCCTCCACCACCTGCTGCGGGTGCGTGGACATGGCCTCCTTAATGAGGGCCCCCACGGGTTTGGTGTTGAAGACGTCCTTCCCCTCGGAATCCTCAGCGTTCTCGGCAAACACGCCGGTGTACTTCAGGCAGAGCGCCAGCTGTTTGTCCTCTGCCAGCTTCCAAATCATACCTCCCTGCTCTGGACACTTGTCAGGGTCTTCAAGAACGTGGGAGAGTCGTCTTAGTGACTCAATGCTTAAGACGATTCCTCCCTCGCCATCTACGTACTCAAGGTCACCAGATTTCACAGTGTGGCCTATGTAGAAAGGCTGAGAGGGGTCTTTTTTCAGTAAGAAATACTTGAGGTTTTCAATTATAGCAAATGTTGTTGGATATGCAAGGAAGAACCAGCTGAATTCATCCTTATAGCGTTCGTACGCTATCTTGTAAGCTTTCCGCATCATCGCCCACATATCGTTTGTGTTGACAGCTACAGAATCAAACACTTTGACCTTTTCCGAGCTGTAGAACTCTGCCTTGTCACAATGCTTGCTCCAGGTCTCCCTCGCTGCAGCCCAGTGCCCCAGATCTTTGGGTTTGACCAGGATGATACAGTAAACATGGATGTTTTTACTAAGCTCCACACGTTCACCTTCTGAAAGGTTTAACACGTCTTCCTTGTTGGGAGCCTGGATGTGATGATGCTCGTGGTGATGTGCTTTGGTCCCGTGGCCCACCTTAATGTGTCCGAGGAGCGTAACCAACATGCAGAAGGCTCCTCCGAGCACCACACCCTTGATGAAGGAGTTGCTTTCAGAAATCATTTTTCCTAAAAAAGAGACGCACTGTCAGAACTTACAGGAATAAGTGCACTAGTGCAGGTTCCATACGCTTCTAATGCAGTGCTCAATTTCTAACCCAGCCGCAGTTCCCTCATCTCCCGCACCGGGACAAGGCTGGCGAAAGCGGTGGCGATATCCAGGTTCCCGGTAACGGTACCACCCGAGCGCTGTGCCCCGGCCGCTCTCCGCTGCCGTGACCGCACGGCCCCGGCCCCGCCGCCTCCTCGCCCGCAGCACCGAGAGGCCGCGGGACGGGCTCGGGCGCTGACGCGGCCCGCGCGCGGCCGGGGGCGCCGCCTGGCGGCGCGCGCGCGGCCCTGCCTCCTCACGGCCCGCCCGCCCCGCGCTCCCCTCAGGGTCCCCGACGCTGGCAGAGCGCTGCCGGGACAGTTGTTGGAGAACTTTCCCACTCCGACCCTTCTCGAGACCCGTGGCAGTCACGCTCCCAGCGCCGGAGACAGTCGCTGCTGGGACAGAAGGCTCTTCTCGGGTCCCCCGCCTGGCTCCCCACACACTGCACGCACACCGTCAGACCAGGATTCCTCAGCGGTTCGACCGCAGGTTTCCTATGGCTGAGTCTCGGATGTCTCGTCCCATAAAGGGATTTATTCCCAGCATGGCAACACATAAACAGCTCGAGCTGGTGCCTCCGAGGAGAATCCCAGTTAAGCACCCCCTGGGATTTTATCCCGTCACAGTGTCCCTTCCCACAAGAGTCACTCTCCCTCCTCATCCTCTGCCCCTGTCCCCGTCTGTCTGTCCATCCACCTCGCTGGCGCCCGTCCTCGTCTCCTTTATTATCCAAAAAGACCGGCAGTTCCCGGCTCCTGCTGTGTCTCTTTGCCCTCTCCTGGCTGGCATCACCCATCTTTATGCCCTTTGTTATCCCAAAGATCGGCAGCTCAGAACTTGCCTCGAACTCCCACCCAGAGCTCAGTCTGCATCACAAGCCATATCTTGCAGGAAAAGTTCAACTTTCAGCACTAACTCTGCTTTTAAATGAATGGGGGTAGAATAGTACAGGAAAGCCAGAACTGGCTTTTAACTGTTTCCAGGATAAAATCAAATGTATCCAAGTATATCTAGGATCAAAGATATATCAAGTATATCAGTATTTCAGGTATATCCAGGGTCAAATCCTGGAGCTACTGCCATAAATTTCCTAACCAATACAATAAACTATGCTTAAAGCATGGTATATTTTTCTTGTTCCTCTGCCTCCCTGGCAGACAGCACAACCCACAAAAAGTTACTTAATATTTAGAATAAACCAAAAACCTTATTTACAACTAATATAACTTTTTATTTCCTTCAGTGATAATTGTTCTGATCTCCAGATTTGTCAGAATCTCTTTCATCAACTCTCAAGAACTTGGAGTTGATACCTGATTTGAACAAGCATCACAGAACAACAGCAAACTGCTCCCTTTTTCCACCTGCCTCTTGGGAAAAAAAAAGAAAAAAGAAGAGGTTTTACAAGTTTTGTCTCTTTGTTAGCTGATCAAACTGTACCCTTAGGCCAAGACATTGATTAGGATAAAGCTCTATACAGGTTTTCCCCATATTGTAAGGTATATCCTGGTTGGATAAATTTAGCAGGTTTTATATTAGTCAATTTACAACTTAGGTGCTCTGGATTTTATGGCACCTGTCTGGGTGCCTCAGATGCCTCCGTTATTTAGTAAGGTTTTTTTTTTAGGTTGTACTGTAGAATTCAATGCTTAACAATGTTATATTTGGCAAAAAGACATGTAAGATGATTGATTGCCTAGCTCTTCTGGGCCTGGGGAACAGTTGGTCGAGGTTCAGGTAAAAACGTTATAAAATAATTCCTTTGGTTGGGTCAGTGCATGTCCGAAATGTCTCAGTTCAGAGGAACTAAATGCCAATTACTCGCAGTGATAGGACAGTACTGTCAGCTTGTACAGGTAGTTCTGTTGCTGCACTTGGGGAACGT